GACTTAGAGAAGTATTACAAAGATTTGGATTTATCTCTTCATTTCCTCAAGAACCTTTTCTCTCGCTTAGACAACTGTCTAGTTGTTTTAACTGGCCTTCCTGCTTTCGGTGGGAACTCATCCTCAAGATAAGAAGCAGCCTCTGCAGACTGTGGGTTGTTGTGATAGCCAGAAAATTTCTCACTCCCATTTCCTCCAATGTGCTGTACTCACCCAGGTCCACCTGTAATACCCTTTTCTTTATTATCCAAGGCTAAAAATAGCCTTTTCTTCCCTGTGAAGTCTTCCCTATCCTCTCCCCACCTCAGACTGGTTTAGGCACCTGTTATGATGAGTATGTTAAAGGAACTATAGACATAATAAACTGTGTTAAGTATGTATATTTAGTTTGGGCTTCACTGAACTTAGGAGTGGTTGGTGGTCCTAATTAAGAATATCCTATTTCGGTAGTAGCTAGCCAACATGAACTCCCAAAGGTAGCTACCAATAAGTCCAGCTTTTCAATTATTGACTAATACCTAAGACTTTGCAAATCAGCTAACAAGCATGGTGATACTGGAAATGGATTCTCATTGACAAAATTAAAGGTATTAAAGATATACATTGGATAAAATAGATGAGACATAGTCTCACCTATTGCTTGGAGAAGGAGTAAGCATAACTTGACCACTTAGAATACCATTTGGAACTTGTGGCTAATCTTTTCTTAAAAGTTTTTGTTTGTGGATTATAAGAGGAACAGTTCTACTTTTATAATGTTGCCCCATTTCTGACGGTGAATGACAGAGCTGAAGGATCACCAGGGTCAAAAATCAGGCTGTGGGTACCCACTTTTAAGTGAGCATTTATGTGGAATTTGCTTTCACTGTAACTGGATAAAAAGGTAATAGAGGAGCAGTTAATCATTCCTCAAAGTTCTTTATTTTTTTGCCATAAAGAGCACACAGGTTACACTAAATCATTCAAATCATTTCAAAGCCAGGCTTCTTCTTGGTGGTGGTGGCATGTGTCAAACTGTGTAACTGTGAGTGTTCCTTTCCCATTGACTTCTGAAGTCACTGAGAACAAAGACTGGATTTTTCATCTCTAGACCAATGCTTAGCTTGGTATGTAGCATAAAGAAATATATAAACAGCATGAAAAATGGAAAGAACACATGATTAAGAGTTGTGAGACTGTTTTATTATCAGTCTCAACAACAATTTGAGTATTTATTACGTGTCACACATAAGTGCTAAGCACTTAAAACAGTATTTCATTTAATATTCAGGGCAATTCCAAGAAGGAAAATCGTTATTTTATTGAGGAGGAAAGAGAGCCTTGTTTATTCAGGATCATTCAGATCACTGGTAGAAGAGTAAATCTTTGAACCCAAAGTGTGGTTGTATCTAAGCACATGTTTTTAATCTCTATTTTAGAAGTGTGTCCCATGGCTAATTTTGGAGAACTTGTACAAAACACAATTGCCATCTGTCTTCTACTATCATTCTTGTATGTATGCCGAGACTAAAATGGTTTAGCATCTACTATGGTTTGAATGCAATCAAGGCTTGGTCCCAGATGGCACTACTAGGAGGTGTCAAGGACCTCTGGAGTTGAGGTCTAATGGGGCACCCTTGAAAGGGATTGTGGAACCCTGGTCTCATTCACTCTGGGTCCTGGCTTATGATGTGAATTCCTGACCTCAATATGTGCTCCTGCCATGAATGTGCTACTCTTGCCAGGGCCCAAACTTAGGGGTTGCTGGGTCTTGGACTTGAACCTCCAAAATTGTGAGCTGAATAAGCCTTCCTTTCTTCCTAAGTAGCCTATCTTAGGTATTTTGTTGTAGTAGGTGAACTCATAGCCAGTCTGAGCTTTATAGACAGGAAGTAAAATGGCACCGATGATAGGCTGAGTCTACAGACCTGTGGTATGTGAAGAAATGTTAATGTTGCTGGTCAGCTTGTTTTAGGTATAATTATCTAAAGGGAAATCATGTCAAGAGAGACTAACTTTCTCCTTGGAATATCTTTTATGTGCTGCCACATGATGATACCATGATGCCATGCCTGGTATAGTAATTCTGGAATACTGACAGTACTTGGTTGCTAGGAGACTGAGGTTAGGTCCTAACCTAAACTGGCATTTCTGGAAAAGTCAGTGTTCTTGCAATTTATCATTAAAGTATCCAATCAGAAAAAGACCTTGAAAGCATTAAGATGCTTAAACATCAATGTCATTTTGAGAAGAATATTCAACAGAGGAGAATAAATATACAGAAGGAATTATTATTGGTTTTAAATTTTTACCTTCTTAACAGGAGGGTCTCCTTTGGACTGATGATATGATGGAGACACCTTCACCTGGAAAAACATAGCACACATTTCAATGCCTTATTAGTTACAGCCTACCTATATTTGACCCACATTCAAAATACTTCAACTCAAATTGTTACAACTGATATTGTAACTTACATATTCAACTGAAAATAGTGAAGACAGATATTTTCAGAGTACGAATGAAAAGGTTTTATTTTAGGTTCCCTTGAAATTTTTCTGGAGATCAAAAAAACCAGTAATTAGCTAAGATAAAAGTATGATTGGGTAGGAAAAGTGGAACAGATGGTCCAAGCTGGTTTTAATAAAATGGTGAGATATTAAATAGAGTTAGAGCCTGCTGATAATGTTAGTCAACTGAAGTAGTAATCTATGGTTAGCATTTCTTACAGTGGACTGTAAGCAAAGAACTCTATATTTTTCCTGGTTCTGTGGCTTGATCTTGAGCCTCACACTCTTAATTAGCCTTTTTGCTCAAAGCTGGCACTCTACCATTTGAGCCATACCTCTAACTTCTGGCTTTTTGATGATTAATTAGACATCAAGACTCTCTTGGATTTGTCTGCCCAGGCTGGCTTCAAACCTCAGTCCCCAGATTTCAGCCTCCTGAGTAGTTAGGATTACAGGCATAAGCTATCATTACCAAGCTAGGAAAAATTATTAATACAATAATGTGGATGAATCTCAAGTACTAATGTTGAGTAGAGGAAGTCACATTAAAAAAAAAAAGGGTATTTTATACTTTCATTTACCTAAAATCCTAGAAAATGCAAATGGATGAGTGGTTGTCAGGAAATTGAATACACTTTTAGTGGTGATAGGCCATTATTTGACTGAGGCTATGGATACACGGATGTATATATTCATTAAATTTGTACATTTAAAAAAGTATAGTTTATATAAATTATATCCAAAAAGATTTAAGAAATTTATATGGTATTGCTAAAACATTTGTTAGAAAGGAATTTACACCTTTATATACCACACTGGAAACTAAATTAAAAGAAAGAACCTATACTTCCAATTTAAGAAACTAGAAGGTCAAAATAAAACCAGGCTAACTAGATGGAATGAAGTAATAAAGGGCAGAAATCAATGAAATAGAAATAAAATGAAGCAACAGAGAACTACCAAAGCCAAATATTGATTCTTTTTAAAGATCAGCAAAAAGATAATGAAATGAATGAATGAACATTATTTCTTAAAAACAAACCAAAACAGAATTTATGAAAATGGACCCAAGGTGAAACTGAAAATAATGAATAACCTTGAATCTACTAGATTGAATTTCCTATAAAATAACTTTCCATAATAAAAATTTCAAGTCTATGTTTCTGCAGTGAATTCTAGCACATATTAAGTACACAGACTAAGAAATCAGAATACTCACTTTTTATTAACTTATAAAGAAAAACATAATTATTACTATAAATAATTCAGTACTAGTAAATGCTATGTCTAAAATGGTGGAGAAGAGGGGTTAAGTACCAGGTGAGGAACTGCACTCAAGATCTCAGGACTCTCCTATCTCTTACCAATCTAATTGCAAAAGTCTGCAGTATAGATGATGAAGATGTTTCCTATTACTGTCCTATCACCATTCAAGGAGGATCACATTGCAGGCTTATTTTTTTGCTGTTCCCCTCTGACTGTAAGAATAACTTCAGAAAGCACACCTCTGCTTAAGGATCAAAACTGCTGGCTGTCCAAGACTGCCCTTTCAGATTTAGCAGGTCTGCAAAAATTACACCTGACAGTCCTTGCTGTAACATACCATAACATTAATACTCTGGAAATCACTCCAGATGTATGATGTAGACTGCAAAAAGGGATCCAATTTTAACTCCTGCTATGCTCTTTTGAAAAGAGAGGAAACAGATTTTCAAAGCAAAGTAGGTTATTTAAGCTTAAAAAATGACCTCATGAAAGCATCTGCAGACTTTTTAAAACAAGCCAAGAACTCGATGTGGTGGTGGACAATTTATCTGAGAAAGCTGTTCTCTGGAGATTAAGTCAGAGAGTGTTTGATGTGGCAGGAGAAATGGCTCAGCAGTGCTCATGAAAGGTCTTATTTTTCATTTAACAGGATTCCTCCTGGAAATGCCTCAGGCAGTGCAGCTTAAAAGACACTTAAAATCCAGGTGGGCCAACACCAGATCTGGGGATATGGAGAATATACTAAGCTATGGCCTTAATAATGCTGATCTTTTGTGATCGTTGTTAATAAAATGATTCCTGCGTTAAGCAATCTGAGCTGAAGTTTAGAAACAATAGGAATACCTTCCGTATCACTTAGCTTTTTGAAAAACAAGCCATAATTTTTCTGATTACAAAAGGAATACATGTATACTTGTGGAAGTTGAGAAAATATGAGAGCAAAAGAAGCAAATAAAACTGCAATCCAACAACACTGTGGGTAACTACATTAACATTTGGATTCACACATTTTTGTGATCTTTTAATGTTACACAATGTTAATATTCATTTCACCACATCATTGTTTTTCTAAAGTGTGGTTTTCCTGGCTACAAAGCAGTTCATTTAGTGTGGCTACTGTGGGCTCTTAGGACATTTTGATTGTTTTCAAATTTTTCTCTTTTGTCCAAGACTAGGACTCGAACTCAATATCTGACCCTTACCTCTCATTGGCAGGAATCCTATCACATGAGCCATGCCTCCAACCAGTTTTCAAATTTTTAATGATAAAAAATGTTGATATAGAGAAGATTAGCATGGCCCCTGAGCAAGGATGACAGGCAAATTCGTGAAGCATTCCATATTTTTTCCAAAAATTCATATGGAACAATAAAAGACCCCGAACAGCAAAAAACGATCCTTAACAGAAAGAACAGTGCTGGAGGAATATCAATACCAAATTTCAAACTCTACCACAAAGCCATAGTAATCAAAACAGCTTGGTACTGGCACAAGAACAGACCTCTGGCCGGGCGCTGGTGGCTCACGCCTGTAATCCTAGCTACTCAGGAGGCTGAGATCTGAGGATTGCAGTTCAAAGCCAGCCCGGGCACGAGAGACTATGAGACTCCTATCTCCAATAAACCACCAGAAAACCGGAAGTGGCGCCGTAGCTCAAATGGTAGAGCGCTCGCCTTGAGCTGAAGAGCTGAGGGACAGCGCCCAGGCCCAGAGTTCAAGCCCCACGGCCGACCAAAAAAAAAAAAAAAAAGAACAGACCTCTGGACTAATGGAATAGAATTGAAAACCCAGAAATGGACCTACAGACTTATAGCCAACTAATCTTTGATAAAGGAGCTAAAAAAATAGAATGGAAGAAAGACAGCCTCTTCAGTAAATGGTGCTGGCAAAATTGGTTAATCACTTGTAGAAAACTAAAGCTAGATCCTTATCTATCACCCTGCACCAGAATCAACTCCAAATGGATCAAAGACCTTGGAGTCAAAGCAGACACTCTGAAAACATTACAGGATGGAATAGGAAAAACCCTAGGACTCCTTGGCACAGGCTGAAATTTTCTTAAAAGAGACCCAGAAACACAACAAATTAAAGAAAGGTTGGACAAATGGGATTGCATGAAATTGCAGAGCTTCTGCATGGCAAAGGACATAGCTCACAAGATCAATAGAAAGCCCACGGATTGGGAGAAGAGCTTCACTAGCCATACATCGGACAAGGGTCTCATATCTAAAATATACCTGGAACTCAAAAAATTAAATCCCTCAATAACAAATCCTCAAAGAAACAACTGCCCAATAAATAAGTGGGCTAAAGATTTAAAGAGAAACTTCTCTGAAGAGGAAAGAAGGATGGCCAATAGACACATGAAGAAATGTTCAATCTCCCTAGCCATAAAAGAAATGCAAATCAAAACAAAATTGAGATACCACCTCACTCCAGTTAGAATGGCTAGACTCAAGAACTCTAATAACAACAGATGCTGGAGGGGATGTGGACAGAAGGGAACCTTACTGCATTATTGGTGGGAGTGTAAACTTGTTCAACCACTTTGGAAAGCAGTATGGAGGTTCCTCTAAAGACTCCACATAGATCTCCCTATGACCCAGCAATCTCACTTTTGGGCATTTACCCCAATGTTCACAAACAAGACCACACTAAAGCTACCAGCACAACTATGTTTATTGCAGCATTATTTACTAAAGCTAAGATATGGAACCAACTCATATGCCCTTCAGTAGATGAATGGATCACGAAAATGTGGTAGATATACACAATGGAATTCTATGCCTCCATCAGAAAGAATGACGTTGCCCCATTTGTTAGGAAATGGAAAGACTTGGAAAAAATTATATGAAGTGAAGTAAGCTTGGCCCAAAGAAGCATAGGTCCCATGGTTTCCCTTATTTGCAATAACTAGTATATGTCTGAGACAAGCAGAAATGGTCACATAAGTTGATGTTAAGCGAAATGAACCCCAAGATAAGGACTCAAATGTTTCTTTCTTGCAAGATATTTCTTTGTTGGTTTGTATGTCCCTCCCCCAAGGTATAACCCCTGTTTTCACTGTTTTTGATGTTGGTATAATTTGTGGAGGGGAAGGGAAAAAACAAATTGTTTAAATAGGGATACAGGTGGACCCATTGCAACAATGAGATGTACAAGATGTTATGTCGAAAAACGAACTTTACAACTTTAGTGCGGGGGGTGGGGGGGAAGGGAGATGGGAAGGGATGGGAAGGAGGCAACAATGCTTGATAAGAAATGTACTCACAGGGGCTGGGAAGGTGGCTTAGTGGTAGAGCACTTGCCTTGCATGCAATGAGGCCCTGGGTTCGCTTCCTCAGCACCACATAAGCAAAAAAAAGAAAAAAGCTGGAAGCGGTCCTGTGGCTCAAGCGGTCGAGCGCTAGCCTTAGCTGAAGGGCTGAGGGACAGCGCCCAGGCCCAGAGTTCAGGCCAAAAAAAAAAAAAAAAAAAAAGAAATGTACTCATTACCTTGCCTATGTAATTGTAACCCTTCTGTATGGTATTTTCACAATAAAAAAATGTTGTCATAGGTATCCCAATAAACACTTGACAAAGCAAACTTCCGCCGGACAGATCTAAGTTCCTGTTTTGCAGAAACATTAAAAAATATTTACTGCCACATTTTCTCCTGATAAGAGTCTATAAGCCCTTTTCTTATAATTCTAAACAAAACCAATTTAAAAAAAAGCTCTGAAACCAAAAGGATTGCTTTAACACAATTTTTGGCACCTAAACTCATTAGGCAGCAAAGTCTGCCCTGTGCTAAAGTGGGGCTATGGGTAGTCTTTCTTACCTCACACAAACATTAGATTATGTGATTACTGTCCCAGTCCAACTGGAACTGTCACATGACATATTCATCACGTTACTTTTATTTTCACATTTTAAAATGCCATTTATTGTCTTCTGGAGTCCATTTTCTTAAAACAAGAAGTCAGCCATCGTTGTTTCTCTTGTCTTTCCTTGGCTCCTTTAAGACCCTCTCTTCTATCTTTGGTGTTAACAGCTGGACTGTGATGACCATGTGAACAAGTATGGATTTCTTTCCATGTATCTGCTAGGAGTTTGCAAACTTGGGGAAAAAAAAAATATTCTTAGGTGGAATTTAACCCTTCCCATTGCTATACAGTCTAGTTCACCAAAGCAGTGCTTGCTCATTCTGCTAACCCTGCCTAGTACATCCTTCATTTCAGATATTGCAGTTTTAATCTAGATATTCTGACCTTTTGTCTAACTTTCATATCTTCATTCAATATATTCAATCTTTTCTCTAGCTTAATGAATGTACTGAATATAATTATAACAATTTTAAATGTCCCTGTCTAATTATTCTATTTCTGGGTCAAAAAGTTTCAGTAATTTTTTTCTTCATTATGACATATTTTCTTAATTCTTTGTGTATCTGGTAATTTTTTTTTATTGTAAAGATACTGTACAGAGGGGGGCTGGGAAGGTGGCTCAGTGGTAGAGTGCTTGCCTTGCATGCATGAGGCCCTGGGTTCAATTCCTCAGCACCACATAAGCAGAAAAAGCTGGAAGTAGTGCTGTGGCTCAAGTGGTAGGGTAGCCTTGAGTTGAAGAGCTGAGCGACAGTGCCCAGGCCCAGAGTAAGGTAATGACTACATTTTCTATCGAGCATTGTTACCCCAGGCTTTGTTTTCCTCCTACTATCCCTTCCCTCCCAACCTCCCCAACTACCACCCTTCCCTTCCCCTCCCCGCCCCCCCCCCCCCCCCCCCCGCAAGTTTTTAAGTTTGTTTTCACCATAGTGTCTGGTATTGTCTCACTGTTACAATGGGCCAACTGTATCCTTGTTTCAGAATTTTGTTAGTTCCCTTCCTCTCCCCAAATTAAAAAAATGTATATACAAGATGCAGGACACCAGGATCAAATACAACAGGGGTTATTATCTGGTAATTTTTTTAACAAGGGTGTTGGATATATTTTAAATTCCTTGCAAATCCTTGAGCTTTTTCTAATGTGGTTAAGATCCTAGGAAATAGTTTGATTTTTTTTTTTTTTTTTTTAGGTTTTGTTTTCATGCTCTGTTGGTGTTATCACAAAGCAGAAGTTAGTCTAGGGTTAAATCCCCCTTTCCCTTTTCAGGGTAAGACTTACTGTTCTCAGTGCTGACCTGTGAATTAAAAAGCCTTCTAGGCTAGCTGGCAGAAATAGGCATTATTTCTAACTGTAGGTCAGTTTAGGACAATGTCCCACTTAAAATTCGTTTAGGTGGTACTTCTGTGATCTCAAGAACTTTCCTTACATAAGTGGGTCAGTATTCAACTGAATAGTCAAAGAACTCTCTCCTCCGTCCAATATTCATTCTCTCCTGCAAACTCTAGCCACCTTGGCTTTGCTGGCTTTCTTGCTCTTTCTCCTTGACTGTGAGAGACTGCGCAGCTCTATCTCACTAGCCGCCTTCTGACTCATGGCCTGAAGTTTCTCTAGGCAGTAATTTAAGGGTAATCTTACGTTTTAAGTCATTTGCTCTCCCCTCCCCCCACTTGAAAAATCAGGATCACTGTCTATCATTGCCCAATATTTTAAGAACCATTATTTTCAAATATTTTATTTTTTCCTCCCTCAAGAAACTCCAAACAAATCCAGTATTGGAAGTCCCTGTATTACCTTTATAAATTCCAAAAAGTTATACATTCTGAAACATATCTGGCTAAGTAAGGGACAGTGGATTGTAAAAACAGGCATTTCAACTAGAAGGGTTTACAAATGTCAGCCTCCTCACATTCTACTTAGTCCATGTTCTGCTGCTATAACAGACTACCACAGGCATAGGCATGTATTTGGTTCATAATGCTGCAGGCTGAAAGTCTAAGATCAAGGAGCACATTGGTGAGGGCTTTCTTGCTACACTGAAATATAGTAATGGGCATCACAAGGTGAAGTGAAGGGCAGTGCTAGCTCGGGACTTTTCTCCTTTTTCTTATAAAGCCCCAGTCCCATCATGAGGGTCCTGATCTCTTGCCTTCATGACCTAAGTGCAGTTCCAAGAACACCCAAATACCAGCAATATACAAGTTTGGGGCCTGAGCTCTCAACACATCAACTGTGTGGGAGATACCCATTCACAGCACTGTACTTACAAAAATAAATACACATGTATTTTTACATGTGTGTCAGTTTAATATGTAGTTTTAGGAATTTGGCAGTTTAATGTGTTGAAAAAAGTAGCATGTTGCTATTTTAATGTTTAAAAAAAATCACTGGTAAAATATGTTCTCACATTTTATGATATAATGAAAAGTTCTTTCTGAATATGATGAGGTTTATTTAAATATAATTAAGAGGGATGATTTAAA